GGATGGTCACGCCGCAGTCCCTTCTCCTCCATTCTCCTCTCGGGATCTTGGGCACGCACGCACACGCGCCCGGCGTGAGATTTAAGCCACCGGGTCCGGGACACGACCCGCGGTCGACTACGTGGGAGTCCAGCGACATAGCCATTACGCCAACTGCTGGTTCCCTCCACTATCTTTTTTTTAAGAATTATTTAATTTTATTTATTATTTTAAATTTGCTATAGGGCGGGTGTGCTCATCAGAGAGATACAGAATAAAGAGAAAAGGCTGCTGCTAGGTCGACTTGAACTGCAGTCGGCAATGTGGGAGTCCAGCACCTCAAGCATTATGCCACCCACTGGCCCCGCATTTCTACTGTATTAACCTAAGTTCCAGGCAGAAATTATATTCTGCCTTCCAAGTTGGTTTGTGCTAGAATTGCCCAGCTCTGAGGTTGAAGAAACTACCATCAATTATTTATCTTAGAATCTTAGAACCATTTAAGAACTGTCTTTTGAGATTTCCCTTTTTTTATTTTTATTTTTTGGAGAGGCTTTTGCTATAGGGCCCGTGCACTTGCCAGAAAGACAGACAGAAACAGACAGAAAGCGAGAAATCACCCCCGGGGGGATGGCCACACCGCAGTCCCTTCTCCTCCAATCTCCTCTTGGAATCTTGGGCACACATATACATGTGCCCGGCTTGAGTTTAAGCCACCAGGTCCGGGACTCAAACCGCGGTCAACTACAAGGGAGTCCAGTGACATAGCCATTACGCTAACTGCTGGTCCCCTGTCTTGAGAATTCTCTTATCACTTTCTCCCACTCATGTTTCTGCCAAAGCAATCCCATGGTTTCCTATGATTCCCTTTTTTTTTTTAATAAGTTTTTGCTTTAGGGTGTACCCGTACACTCACTAGAGAGAGACACAGTGAAAGAAAGAGAGGGAAAGTGAGTAATCACCCCACGGGGGGATGGCCATGCCTCAATCCCTTCTCCATTCTCCTCTTGGGATTCTGGGCACACACACACGCACGCACCTGGTGTGATTTTCAAGTTGCCATGTCCAGGATTCTCAACTGTGCAGTCAGCCATCCTTCCGCTGGCACACTCAATAGGATTTTGACACCACCATTCACTCCCAGCTTCAGCCAGTCCTGGGTCATGGTCATATACCTTCCTGGTGTACTCAGAGGTCTCTGGTTGTGAACCCAGAACCTTCCCACGTGGAATACCCACAGTGTGTCATGTTGTACTGCTGTTATCACTGTCCAGCCCCCGTTTTCCTTTTGCAAAGAACATTTTCAAAGACGAGGAGGAACACAAGGATGAAAGGAGCAAGTAGATTTCTTTTATCCAGAGCCCGTAATTATAATAACTTTTGCCACTAGAAGGCTTGGTTTGAACCCTGTCACTGCTGTACCTGGGAGCAGCAGTATAAGGAGGCCTGACTCCTTGGTATTGTTCAATAGCTGTTAAAATAACAGTGGAGGAGGGAGAAGGAATCAAGGCACTTCGTACACTTTAATACTCATTTCTAACACAACAGTGCCATCACTTTGGATTATAGACAGAGTCATAGTCAAAGGAGAACAACCAGAGCTTTTGCATCACTGCTGAGACATTGGAAAGCATACAAATGTAAAATAATGAGCATGTACTTAAGAGGATTAAAGCTTCCCAAATTCAGTGTTACTCTGCACCCCAACCCCATAGAGCCACACTGTGCGTTACACTGTTGACTTACACAAATGTCAGAATTACTGGTTACAGACTGGGGCTAGAAATTTACCTCTTGCCCTCAGCAGTGTTCCCTGCTAAGGCTCCCCTGAGTAAAGAATATCTTTGATACCAGCTGATGAAACTAAGTTAGAATTAGATTTATTTTTGGTATAAAGTATTTTTAGCCCCCAGACCTTCCTGCTTTGCTTCTCCCTCAACCTCTTTCTTCGGCCATCTTCAGGTCGTAATATCCAAGGACTGGTGACGACTGGTGCTGGGGGGCTGGCACATGGCTTCCAGCAGCCTGATCTCATGGGTGGGTTGCTCAGGCTGGAACTTGAGCACCCAGGGATCCTTGATGACGTCCAGAATGGTGGCACGCTTGGAAGCTTGGCGTAGCATCTGAAGGACCAGATTCTAGGGCAGGGGAGAAAGAGGCCTTGGCTGAGCTTGCCCCACATTGTGCTACACGGGCAAAGAGCAGCCGTACCTGAAGGAGGCAGGGTAGCCCCTCATACCACTGTGGTGAAAGAGGGTACAACACTGATTTCATCCCGGAGAGCCAGGCATTTAACTCCCTGGATGCAAAGGGAAGAGTTCCTGAGGGAAATCTTTGCATTATCCCCTTCTGACCTATAGGAGTAGAAACTGGAACCTATTTATCAAGGACATCTAAGGATTGGAGCTTAGTGGTTGGCCCTGTAAGCCCTCCCCTACTATGAAAGGGCAGAGGCTAGAGTGTGAGGCTATTCACCCCTCCCTGCAGGTCATCCCTGAGACCTCAACCCTCCTGGGGAAGCCAGCACCTTGCACTCCTGAGAGATGTTGTTGTTAGGTGGGAAAGTGACCTCCTTCTGAGTCTCTTTCAGCAGCTTCTTGAGATTGGTGTCATCAAAGGGCAGACGGGCAACCACTAGAGTGTAGAGGATGACGCCCATGCTCCACGTGTCAGACAGGAAAGGGTTGTAGGGCAAGCCTAGCAAGATCTCCGGGCAGGCATAAGCAAAGCTGCCACAGTAGGTCTGGCTGAGGTGAGAAAAGCAGTTCACTTGGCGGTAAGAAGAGCTACTACGCACAGGCTGGCTAGAAGGCACCATCTTGGCGAAGCCAAAGTCTGATATCTTCACATTCTCCCGCTTGTCCAGCAACAGGTTCTCCAACTTTAAGTCCCTACCAGCAGCAGAAAGGCTGGGAGTCAGGCTGGGGAGAGGGCTTAGTATTAGACCAGGAGCTGAAGGGCTAGAGGTCCGGGACTAGAGATGAAGACAGAGTGGGAAAGAGCTGCCATTATGAGGGCACAAGAGAGAGAGGAAGGAAAGCCATGGAGCAGAGAGCAGAGCCCAAAAGGGTGAGAGGAAAAATGATCCCCAGGACCACTGAGAGCTCACCATTGTATTTCATAAAGCACTCTGTGCACAGTGGGTACTTTTATAAGTTTTCTTGAGCAGATGATTAAAATAGAGTGGATGAGTGAGCCTAGATATTGAGGAGGGAGGTCACGGGAGGAAAAAAGGGCAGAAAATGGGAGATGTGCATAAAACCCCCTCGAGAGCCCAAAGGCCCCACTCTGGGTGGCATCACTCTCACCGGTGCACGATGCCCTTGCTGTGCAAGTAGGCAATGCCCAGGGTCAACTGGGAGAACCACTTGCCAGCAAGGGGCTCAGAGCAGGCCCCATAGCGCTGGATCCATTCAAGGACGTCACCACCCTGAGCCAGCTCCAGAATGATGTACACTCGGGATGTGGTCTCGATGGCCTGATAGAAGTTGATGAGGTACTTGTGCCGCAAGACTTTCATGACCTGACCCCAGAAAAGAAATCCATCAAACCTGGGAAGTGAGAACCCTGGCTGCACTCTCAACACTACTTAGAACTTTGCAACAGATCAACTCCTGAACCCTGGAGGGGTTGGCAAATCCTGTTTTGTGCTTTTACATTTTGGGGGGCTCAAAGTGAGTAAGTGGTGAAGAGTCTAGACTGATACCAAGGAATTCTAGCTGCTTATTGAGTATTAGTTCAGTACTAGTTTGGGGTTTCTGGCCCCACCCCCTTTCAGTCATACCCCTTCTGAGAAACAAGCAGCTTACTACCAAGCTCTAGTTCCCTCTTCCAGTCCACTTTCTGACCTGTATCTCACGGGGCAGGAACTTGTTAAGATAGTCCTCAGAGGCTTTCTTCTTTGAGATGATCTTGACAGCTACCATGACCTTCTGTTTTGTGTAGTAAGCCTCATACACGGTCCCATAGGAGCCATTGCCGATGACCTTGCCCACCTCGTAACCATATTCCTCCATGACAGAACGGTAGGCCGTGGTGGTTGGTGCTGTCTCCAAGGCATTTCCCTTCCCCATGGCTTTAGGCTTGCTAAGAGCAGGGAGCTTCGCTACTTGGAAGCCTCCTGTGTACTGAGAGGCCAACACCTAGATCTACTGAAGGCTAGGGTACCAGAGTGAAATAAGTCTCCAAATGCTTGCCTAGTTAGTCACATAAGTCTGGGATGCTGGGCTCGGTCCTTCACTAGGAACTTGGAAGGGGAAAGAAAGGAGAAGTAGTTCCTTTTCACTAGGAACTTGGAAGGGGAAAGAAAGGAGTAGTTCCTTCTGTCTCCACTGCTGGTTGGTTCCATGTTCCATAGACATCACAATTCACCTTCTATCCAGCATTGGTCACAAAGCTTGATAATGAAGTGTGCTTTGGAACATACTCATTCCAGAAGATGCCTTCTGGAGTCTCCTGAGACCTCTTCCTTAGGTCCAGCCACTTCATTTATTACATTTATTGAGCACTTGCTGTGTGTGCCAGACAGTGTACTAAGTACTAAGATAAAAGGAACCAGTGAAGCCAGTAGAGACCCTGTACTCCCAGAATTTGTAAGCCAAATGAGAAGTACATGTGTGAGAGTATTACAGAGAACTACAAGGTGTTGAAACATGTTCTAGGAACTAATATTGAAATGCATTATCATGCCTTTCATGACCTGAATTCTCATTTTCCTTCAATCCTCAAGCTCCTCTGCTGGAGCCTCATCTTTCTCCACCCATCCCTTGTATCTCAAGGGTTCTATCACAGATCTCATTTTCTCATGCCTTCTCATCCTCCCTTAAAGATCTCATCCACTCCAGGGAACCGGCAGGTGGCATGGTGGTTAAGGTGCTGGACACTCCCACATGGCCAACCATGCATGGTTCGAGTACTGGACCTTGCTTTCTTACTCTCCTCCCCACTAGCCCCGTGTACCTCTCTTTGGTAAAATTTAAATAAATGAATGAATAAAATAAAATTAAATAAAGATCTCATCCACTTCAAGGCTTCAATTATCATATTTATGACCACTGCTCCTAATCTTATTTCCATTCCAGGTACCTCTGGAGTTCCATGTACAGCATCCAGTTGCTCACTGGACATTGCATGATCATGTTTTCCAAGGCACCTCAAACTCACCATACTCAAACTGAACTCCTTACATTCTTCTCCCAGACTTCCCCTTTATATAAATTCTCCACTGGTTGTCCTTAATTTAGATACCTAAGTGTGGTCTCAGACCCTTCTACCCTGCCTCAGTCCCGACACCCAATCTATCACCAGATTCTATCTTCCTAATTACCTTTCTTTTTTTCTTACTTAACAAGAAGTTTATTACAAAACTTTATATGACCTCATTTTTACATCATAGTAAAACGGGCCTGTTGGAGAAGGGACATGGATTTTCCTGTTGAACAGCTGTTAATTATACTCATTACAAGGCTTCTAACATTATTGCCTCGTATTGCCACCATTCCAGTATTATTCTGTTGCCCACTACTTGCCATCGCCATACATTCATCTATCACAAGATTCATAAATGGATCAAATCCCTGCAATATTCCCTGGACATGTCTGCCACCATTTAATTTCAGTAACTCCCTGTCCATAGTTTTTTCAACTTGGGAGGGTGGCGATGAGCTTTTCTCATGGTACCTACTTGGCAGGCTCAGAGATGCCTTTGAACGGAATTCTTGGCCTCCTCATGTTCCTGCAGCAGGTCCAGCATTTTGCATCTGACCCCTAATTATTTAATAATACATTACTGGGCCAGCAGATGGCATGGAGGTTGAGGTGGCTGGATCCCACATAGCTGACTGTGAGGTTTGAGACCCAGATCTGGTAGCCTGAGGAACAATACCAGGCACATGTGCATGCATTTATGCCCAAAAATCCTGAGAAGAGAATGGAGAAGAAACTGTGGCAAGGCCACGTCCTGGGGAGTGATTTTGCACTTTTTCTGTCTCTACTGAGTGCATACTAGACAACAAAAATTTAAAAATATATAAATAAATAATACTCCCAAACAATAATACTCCAAGATAATAATACTCCACAATAATAATACTAATTCCACTAATAATAAGGAACCAGCAGTTGGCGTAATGGCTATGTCGCTGGACTCTCATGTGGTTGACTATTGTTCGAGTCTCGGACCCAGTGGCTTAAACTCACACTGGGTGCATGTGTGCATGTCCAAGATCCCAAGAGGAGAATGGAGAAGGGATTGTGGTGTGGCCATTCCCCCGGGGGATGATTTCTCACTTTTTTTCTGTATTCTTGGTGAGTGCACGTGCCCTATAGCAAAAACCTCTCCAAAAAAACAAAAACAAAAACAAACCTCTAAATTGCCATCTCCTTCTTGCATGCCTCCATCCTTTAACTGATTGCCCTTGCAAACTAGCAAGCCTTCTGCTCCCTTCCAGTCTGTTCACCCTGAAGTCTAAGAAAATATCAGGCTTTATTATTTTTTTTAAGAATTATTTTATTTAACTTTATTTACTTATTTTAATTTGACCAGAGAGGGAGAGAGAAAGAGAACAAGTAAGAAAGCAAGCCGCCAGGTCCAGGACTCAAACTGCAGTTGGCAATGTGGGGGTCCAGCACCCTTAACCACCATGCCACCTGCTGGCCCCCGGCTTTATTCTCATTTACAACAATGCAGTGTCTCCTGACTCTCCTCAGGATCAAGTCCAATTTTTTTTTTTTTAAGTTTTTGTCATAGGTGTGTGCACCTACCAGAAGACAGTGAGAGGGAAAGTGAGAAATCACCCTCCCAGGGGAGTGGCCATGCTGCAATCCCTTCTCTTCCACCCTCCTCCTGGGATTATAGGTTTGTACACTTGCCTGGCATGAGTCTTAAGCCGCCAGATCCAGAACTTGACCTGCAGCTGGTCATGTGGAAGTCTAACGCCTTAACCATTATACCACCTACTGGCCCCCAAGTCCAGATTCTTTCATATGACTTTAAGATTTGATCCTGTTTACCTCTCAAATCTTATTTATTTTTTAATAATTATTTTATTTAGCTTTACGTATTTATTTTTAATATGACCAGAAAAGGGCAGAGCAAGAAAGAGAGAGAGGGAAAGTGAGATGGTAAGCCACCAGGTCCAGGACTCGAACTGCAGTCGGCCATGTGGGAATCCAGCGCCCTTAACCATCATGCCACTTGCTGGCCCCTCCAATCTTATCTTTTAACATGCTTCTAAAAACCAAACAGAATTACTTTCCCAGTTTTGTTCCCTCTCTTCTGGCAAATTCCACCTTCAGAGCTTAGCTTAGGAGTCTTTTTAATAATGAGGCTCTGACAGCTCAAGCCTGTTAGATGTTCCTCCCTTTGGCTGATCTTGCTGTTCCAATATTAGCTCATTACAGTGCCTAACATAATGCCTTGTAATAGCTTTTCTTGCTTGCATCTCCCACTACACGGAGATCCACGAAGAAGAGAGCTATTGGGGGCCCGCAGGTGGCGTGGTGGTTAAAGGCACTGGATTTTCATCTGGCCTGCGTGGGGTA